CCGCAGCATATCACGTTTCGCTAACGACGCACCCGAATGGCGAGTCGCCAGCGGCAAACTACTCGCTTTGTGGCTAATCGGTCAATCGGGCAGTTTGTTCTTGTATCAAGGCCAGGAAATCGGTATGATCAACGCGCCGCCATCATGGGACATAGAAAGTGAATACAAAGACGTCGAAAGCCAGAACTACTGGGCCGAAGCCGTGAGGCTGGCGGAGAACGGCACGGATCCTACGCGTAAAGAGCGCATAAAGAGGGGATTACAGCTTATGGCTAGGGATCATGCGCGGTTGCCTTTTCAATGGGATGACAGTACCAACAGTGGGTTTTCGACGGGGAAGCCGTGGATGAGGGTGCATGATGATTATGGTAGTATCAATGCGGCGGCGCAGGAGAAGGATGAGGAGAGTGTGCTTTCGTTCTATAAGCACGTGCTCAGGCTGAGGAAAGAGCATAAGAATGTTTTCGTGTATGGCTCGTTTGAGCTGGTCGATCCGGAGGGGAGGGATCTGTTTATTTACCGGAAGAGGTGTGAGGGGAAGATGGCGCTTGTTGTGTTGAATTTTACGACCGAGGAACGAGGGATGGAATGTGATGTTGAGGGGTTGAAGCTGCTTGTAAGTTCGTATGGGAAGGCGACGGGACAAGTGCTGCGACCGCTGGAAGGAAGGATTTACATCGATTACTGAGCAAGTGTGAGCGAATGTACTGGCGAGAAAGTGTAGACGTTTGTCGATGCGCTATCAAGGGTATACTACAATGCAAAACTCGCACCACACATTCCTCTTATTGTCCTACCCATCGTCCAACGATCGGAAGGTACTTGTACAGCTCGTCATACTCTTTGCCTACCCAGCCCACCATCTTGCCGTCTCGTCCAACAACACCCAGACCGCCCGCTAGCCATAGTGCTGTCAGAGCCGCGCTAATGCCGTTGATAGTGTACCATCTCCTCTTCCGGATCAACGCTCTGTTCTCTTCCGTGTGCTTGACCTGACTGGGTGCAAAGCCTAGCCATTTTGCAGCGCCCCAGACGAAATGCCACACCCCGACTCCTACCAGTGCTGTGAACCCGGTGAAGGAAACAGCGGGGTGTAGTGCGAAGCCATGGGAGATATATTGCAAGTTGATCAACGACGAGTCGCCATGTGCGTATAACGGGAGAATCCTCGTAGTCCAAATATGGAAGCTAGCAAAAGGAACCAAAGCATAACCCAACGCACTCGTGCCACTCAGTGCTGGCCAAGGAATCGTGCGCTTATCCGTTCGTGTCTCGGCGCCGTATCTTTTCAGCGCTTGTCGCCTTCTCCATAGTCGTAATGCGATGCCAGAGGTAACGTGTGCGACGAGGGGGAGGCCAACGAGGAGGGGTTCCGTGAGCGCGGATTGGTAGTATGGTCGTGTGAGCAGGAGGTAGCGGTTTGATTCGAGGACGGAGCGGGTGGCGAGCGGTATTATGGAGACGTTTGTTATGTGGAGGGCGGCGAAGGCTGTGAAGGTGTAGGAGGAGTACTTTTGTATGCGGAGGACTGGGGAGTGGTGTCAGCATTGTAGCTTCTTGGATGAGGGCTGTAGGAAGACATACGCCACCAAGCAGGTCCATGGTCACCTAACCGCAATCCCAAAGTGTTCATCCTCCTTATCCCTCTCATCTCCTCCGTCTCCTTCTCAGGCCGTTCCTCATCCGGAACCGGGAAATATTGATTCACTTTCAACTCTTCTGGTGTGTCGACGGGCGAAGGGTCGACTTCGGTAAGGCCCATAACGCCCATCTCTTCATCCTCTACCGGTGGCAGACCCGGGCTCTTCTCCATCTTGCGGTCTGTGTCGTGGTGTTGCGAGGTAAGGGAAATGCTACGTTGCTGAGACATGGAATGACGTTGATTCGGTGAAGATATAAGTGGGGCGCTGCATGCTTGAGCCGAGGCGCGTGCTGTTGAGCCGCAACACCAATTGTTCTATCACCACACGCGACTACGCGACGCCACGACTGAACGACCCCGGTACCTCACGATCCCACGAATCGCTCACGGAGATTCTATCACTGGTGATATATCACCTCGCCCACATATCCCCATCGCGACACACCACACATAGACGCGACCATGCCACCAGTACGCCCTCCCCAACCCTACTCTCACCCACGCATCACTAACACCCCTCTCAGCGAAACAACCCCCTTCCAGCGGCCGTCCGCCTCTTCAACTGCACAATCTGCGATAAAGGCTACCCGCGACAACTCGACTACGAAAACCACCTCCGCTCCTACGACCACAACCACCGCCAACGTCTCGCCGACATGAAGAAGCTCACCGCGTCCAACGACACCGAGAGCAACAAACCGAAACAAGGGTTAGAGATGCGGAGTATAGATGTGGAGAATGCGAATAAGAAGCCGGGGGTTGGAAGTCGATTTACTAAGATTGGGGGTGGTGGTAATGCTGCGGCGGGTGGCAGGTTTAAGAAAGTTGGGGTTGCGGTTGGTGGGAAAGATGGTGTCGAGGATAAGGCTGAGGTGGTGGTCGTGAAGACGGAGGATATGTCCGAGAGGAGTATTGAAGCACCGGTTGCTGCTGCGATGCCCATCGCGGAGGCCGAAGTCAAGAAGGAAGAGGATACACTTATGGCGGATGATGCAAAGGCAGATGAGATTACATGGGAAGAGTACGACTTCACGAAGCCAACCGGATGCGATCATGCGAGTTGTCCTGGATGCAAAACAGATGGCATCTGGACTGGTGGATGGGTGTCTGTGGATGCTGTTTGAAAGACACGCGTTCATCGCTCTTATGTTGACATCGACACTTTTACTATAATTATACCTGGAGTCGATCAACCCCTAGTCGGGGCTTATCCACATTGCATAGCATCGGCGTTCATGGAGTCAGTACTCAGTCTACGCTCACCATATACCAGATATCTGTAAGTGTGTTCCCATCACCCTACAATTCATTTCCCCGAGGTCCTGATCGTACCCTTGATTCTTGCGTCACGACGGGGTTCATTGGCGCCTAGTCGCTGCTTTGACTGATCAAAATAGCAGGCTGCATTTACAATTGCTGCTTCTTCTCTATCCGCTACTCAAGCAGTGTGATCGATACGACTCACCGCGGTCGAGGAAGATACGGTGTTGGCTGGAGTGGGACAACGTTGAGGGTAATTGTAGATGTACCAGATGCACCAATGCGCTCTTAGCGTGCGTTGTTAGTGCTGATTACTCCAACGAAACACCAGAGTCGGCGGCGGCTATCAAGGAGTCAAGTCGCGGGCTACATTCACGATGGTCTGGATATGCGTAAGTGCATTTTCATCGCTTAACGTTTCTCATCATTCTGGTTCTTCCTAGTTGCTCGACATCTCAGGACTAATCCTTAGATGCTGTGCCTCCATCCCTAATGTACAAAGAGCTACACATATCTTGTGAACTCCTCTGTAGCGGTCTCTCAACTTATAGTCGAGACAACGAATCAAGAAGCTTCTGACCGCTGCTTCGACCGACCAACAACCTACACTACTTTCCACCTCTCTCTCACAACACCCAATACCCAAGGTCTGTCCATGTCTTACCCGCCCGGAAAGTGCTCGGCAAAGGTACGATACGTATAACAAACTCGCCGTTGTGGTTAGCGAAGTGAGCACAGGGTTCGTAGGCTTTGACGCATCGGTCATCTGCCGCGTCCATGAAGTCCCCTCCTTGGCTAAAGCTTTGCCTAACTGTACCGGCAGGAGTCATAGCACCGATGAGGACCGTTCGGATGCAGCAAGGTCTGTCCGGGTTGTCTGTGTATCGTGCTGGGTTGAGGGTGCAGCTTGCGTAGTAATCTCTTCTGTACTTAGAAGACAAGCACATGAACTCGTAACGTCGCTTCAGCTGGGCCCGGACAAGGACCGGAAGGTCGTCAAGTGTCTTCAAGACATATTCACCCTGCTCGTTGCGAAACCGCAGGTATATTGGCAGATCTACCGGGTTCCGGACCGTTTGGGGCTTCCGCTGTCTAGGAACATCGTTCGACCTCCGATCGACTATTGACTTCCGCTTCCTAGGTAATTTCGCCGGTGCCTGTTCATCCTCGATCGTGCGCTGGTAATTGGCCATAAGCTCCTCCTTCTCTTCATCGTCACTGCCGAGGTCGATTATCTCGTGCTCTTTCTTGAATAGTATGTGCGCGGTAGAATTGTCATTTTCTTGCTGTCCCGCCACCTCAGCGTTTGCTGGCATCTGCTCTTCCTTCACTTCCATGTGAGCCGCAGTAGTGACAGTTTCTTGCTCTTCAGCTGCGTCGGTCCTTGCTCGCTTTGAGTCATTGAAGCTCGCCGCAGAACTCCTTCGCTTTGTAGGAGCAGTAGTTGGATCGTCTGTGGGGATGAACTGGGGTGTTGTCGATATAGCCTGAACGGGAGGTTGAGATTGCGGAACTACCATCAGTCAGCTTGGGTCCCCATTTGTACCAAAGGCGGTGATCTTGAACATACCTGAGGCTTCATCTTGTTCGCGGAGGACAAGTAAGAAGGCAGCGCGCACTTCCTCGGGCGGCAGATACTCCACGATGCGGCCGCGGTCCACTTCATTCATATTTTGCAAGGTCTTGAGCAGACCATCGGCTCGGGTGTTGGAGCTCATTGCGTCCTTTGGGGTTTCCGGAACGTCGGTCGCTCTCTGCAGCAGATGTGGGTATCAAGTTTGACTGTGGTGGATGGTAGGTGAGAGCGCGTCTGACAGGCGATATGGTTTCAAGCGTTTGTTGACGATTAGGCAACCTTGGCGCTGGACCCTTTGGGAAGGAGCGGTAGACCGCCGCTCACCTCGCCAATAGTAACGGGAAGAGCATTTCAGGGTTCGAGAATCTTGTCATGCTACCGTACAGCCTTCACCTTACCAGCATTTGCTTACTAACTCCTTGGCGTAGAGACGCAAAAGCACATGTCTGATTAGTTGTGTCACCAAATTCTTTGTAAAAAGATTGGCTATTCTCTCACCATCAGTAAGATCATAGAACGAACTCAGCTCAGTCCAAGTCCCGACACATCAACCGAAGGTGGTAGACCCATCAGTAGCTCGCTCATAATCTTCCCACTTCCAAGCGACAATGTCACACCATCATCGAAATGAGCGGTGTTCAGGAACAAGCCACCAGGGCTATACCGATCATCCTGAACACCATCCTCTTGCGTCGAAAGACGCGGCATATCCTGGGAGCTATCATCCATACCCAGCAACTCCAAGTCCACCTTCGTGACAATTGGATGTCTGAACATCGCAAGCGGCCTGTAGCACCTTCCTTCCGCAAAGATCTTCAAGTCTTCATCCTCCGGCACCCTCAGATACCCCTTCACAATCTTCTTCATACTCTCAATCTCACCCGACTGTGCGCGCACATCCTCCGCAAGCTCTGGAAGTTCTTCCGGTGCCGCTCCCCATCCACCCACGTACAACTCACCTCCCGGGAAACTAGTGATGTCGAGACCCTGTCTGCCTGGAACCTCACTTTGGAAGAAGACTTGTTGACTTCCCTTCTCGTCGTCCTCAGGCTTCCAGTCAGGTGTGCGGATGCGGAAGTGGTTTCCGGCTGACGCTGTGGAGTTCATTGGTAGTTGGGAAGAGGCGTGAGGGAAGAGTGTTGAGAAGACGTGTGGGGACCAAGGGCCTGCTGCTATGACTAGGCTTCTGCAGGGGATGTTGAGTGAGTCACCATCTTGTTGCTCGATCTGGATGCTTGTGAAATGTCTCGCTCCTGGTGCTGCCTGAATTGATGTTGCATTCGCGTTGAACACGAACTCAACGCCCAGCTTCTTGCACTCTTCGTAGAGAAACTGGCAGAACTGGCCGGGGTCACTTATCGGTCAGTCCAAGTCATCGTGATAATAGAGACGCGAACATACAGATGCGATGCATGAGAGGGGCCAGCGATGCGCTGCACTGACCAGTTGCTCCTGGGTTTGATCCAGTCAGGGAGCGCAGACACAGGCCGTTCACTGGGAGGACTTGGACCCCAAGTATCAGGTGGCTTAGGCGTACCCGTGAAGTCCTCGGGGATGATGCGATAGATTGTAGACTCGCTAAAGCCAAACTCCTTCACTCCATTCGCGAGAGCAAGTTCCTGGAACAGCCTGTAGGAAAGCGCGCCCAAATCAGCGACACCGCTCGCGAAGCCGAAATCTCCAAGTCCACCTGTCGCTTGACCAGAGGCAGCAGGACTGATATGCGCAGCTCGTTCGACGACGATGATTCTGCCGTGTAACCTGGTCGTCGCATTAGCAGTCTCTCGGTGAGCGAGTGCGAGCTGATAGGCTGTCGCAAGGCCGATGACGCCTGCACCCAGAATGACAGTATCATCACCATTCAATAAATCTCTTTGAGGAGCTAGAGGTTGCTGAACGTTGGACCAGGTTGTGTCCATGGTTGGAGAGGCCAGGGTGCGGGGCCGCCACAATGCAAGGAGAGGGAAGGAACTTCTGAGATGCATGATGATGTGCATTGCTTCAATCAGTCGAGACAAGGGTACTGCATTGAGAGTTCCGAAATTCTGCGATCGTCGATGCTGATCATAGTTTCTGCGTTGCAGGAGAGTCTGCAATGCCGGTTGACGTACGCTCTTAGGTCTGAGCTCAAGCGGCACGTTCACCGTTTGGCGTATGCTCAGTGGTCAGGACAGCGTTTGTGTAATTTACAAGATTCGGGTCGTCACTGCTGTCAGTGACATGTGGGTATCCCTACTCATCGCGATCCGTATCGCATACTATTATACAAAGTCCATCTTAACTTCGTCGACTCGGTTCCATGACCTTCTAATCTTCATGCACGAGATATCTTGCCTACGCTCATACCCACCTACTTCCACTCCCAACACTCCTCCACCATCCACTCAAAGTCCTGGAACTTGACAACCGCACCCACACTCAAGATCTCAGGCCTGAAGGTAACGCCACAAGGCAAGAACCCATCCCCTACCCTCACAGTTCTATTCCACTTCTCCACCTCTGACTTTGCGCCGTTCCCACCAACCTTCTCCTTCGCAGTCTTGCCCTCACCGTCCTCCCACTCCCATCGCTCAACGGTAACCTTGTTACCCCACATGAGAATACCCTGGCAGTACTGCCCCAACCTCACGACCACACCTCTAACACCCGCGTGATCAGCCTGGCACCGCATAACCACACATAGCATACTGCCCTTCTCATTCGTAGATACGGCGTCGACATCCTTCCACATCTCTTCGTGGGTCTTGACCGCACCAAGTGCCGGATGGTATCCATGTCCATGCTCCAGCGTCAATCCGGGAGCGATGGGATACATGTCGCCCTCATCAACAGGGATGCTCTTGTGGCCAACAGGGAAGCGTGAGTCGAGCCAGTGAGTCCAAGTAGATTGTGTGACGTTGACCCAAGTTTCTTCCTTGAGCTTCTTGGCAGATTTCCCGTGCTGTGGGCCGGTGGGAGGAGGCGTGATGGGTACGCTGGTGGAAGTGCCGGTGAAAGCCCAGTCTAGGTGAGCGGAGTTGCCTACGTTGGTGCTCTCTTTGAGGGGCGCGGGACCAGCGCTGTTGGAATTGATGGCGTCCTTGGAGAACGACTTGTAGATACGAACATCGACGAAGGTGTGGTTAGGGCTTGTCAGTACCAAAGTAGATGTAGGCTCGAACTGGTGAGACGGTAGGTTCAGCGGGTTCTTCTGCGGGAGGTGGATGGAGTAAGGGATCTCGGTGTTTGGCGGCAGAGGGTAAGGGAGGAAGTAGATATACTCGCGCTTGCTAATGTTGGCGGCACTGGGGTCTTGGAGGACGGGCTTGGGACCGTGAGTTGTAGTGATGGTGAAGGAACCACTGCCATCGTCTGGCTGTGCGGGAGCTTGGAGAGAAGGTGAGACGCCCTTGTTCATTGCTGAGGATGCCATGGCGTCGGTTTCGGTGCCGGAGTCTGGGGGTGTGTAGATGATGGGGCTGGTGTTGGTGCTTGATTGATCGCTGAGATCACACGGTTCTTCGTTTGCTTGTGCCGCGGCGGGGTGATTCTTGGCCTTGATCACCATTTTGGATTTGAGTCTGATATCTTTTCGAGGGGGAAAGGTCAGAGAGACTAACAGTTACCGTGATGCTGAGATAGGCGTGAAAGCGAAAAGGACGTTGAGATCTGGACAATGAGTCAGTAATTGTAGGACTTTGCATCAATATCTCTCAGATTTCAACGATCTGAGGAGGATACATCGGCTTTTCACGGTGTACGTGGATGCCAATACAACACTAAGATGTATACGATGTGAGAGCTGAGCGCGCAGGGATTACCTTTGCGGGAGCGTGCTTGCTACGGGATTACTGGGAACTGTTAGGGAGACTTACCAAGTGAGTGCTTGAAGACTTCGTAGCTTGTACCTTACACGTTTTGCGTGGTGTTGTGGTGTTGTGACAGATACGGTGTGAGGTGGGGGAGCTCATAGCAACAAGAACCGCGCTAGCGACGTCCGTTTGCGCAAGGTGATCATCAATACTAGAATTCGAGGTGAATGGCAATTTCATACTGCTCGGTCAAATGACACATCACGAACAATCCTATCGTACCCTACGGCAAAGAGTGGATGTCGCTGGGAGAGACTGTAGAAGAAATGACGAAGAGATGAATGGGAGGCACGGCTTGCATTTGCAAAACTAGGTATCATTCACATGCTGTCATTTATTTGACAGACCTAACCATGACGCCGCCCATGCTGGGAAAGCCCACGCTGGGAATACCCATTGCCGAATCGTAATCCTGACTTTTGTATTGTCGTAAGCCATAGCAAAGAACCAAGCAGCTACTTCAGCGAATAGCTTATTTCTTCTTGGAGTCGGCCTCCTCGGCCTTAGCCTTCGCGCGCTTCTCACGGACACCGACGAGGCGGGCCTCGGAGCGGGCGTCACGGAGCTTGCGGTAGGCGTTCTCGGTAGCCTCGTAGTTGCCAATGGGGCCCTCCTCGAGTTGGACGACGTTCTTGATGGGCAGAGCAGCGGCGGTGGACTGGACGAGGTTGTCGGCGCTCTTGGCGGCCTTGACGTCCTCGGCGGAAGCGTCACCAGACTTGGTCTTGCCGTTGCGGCGGGGGAAGAGGATGAGGCGCTTGCGGTACTCCTGGAGGCGCTCGACGTTGGCCTTGAGGCCCTCCTCGGAAAGGTTCTGGCGGCGAGGGTCGACAGAGATACCGATGGTACGGGCGAACTTGCGGGGGATACCGGCGGCTGCTATATGTTAGGAGCGCTTTGCGCGATTGGGTAGAGCAACATACCCTTCAGCTCAGCAAGAGAGAAACCACGGCCGGGGCGGACACGGCGGTTGTACTTGATGGTAGGGCAGCGGACGACGGGCCTGAGCTTGTCGACGGGCCTGGGGGCTACCTTCGCAGCCTTGGCAACGCGAGCATTGCGTCTGGACTTCTTCTTGCCAGGCTATCGTACTGTCAGAAATCTGAACACAGGCGCCACTACTCTCAGCGACGTGAGAGGGGAATTACCTGGTCGAAGTGGCAGCGGACGTAGCGTTGCCTGGAGAATGTTAGCCCAATGTCATCAACGCGCCCAGTGTCCCAATCGCGAACTCACCAGTCCTTGTGGAAATGGTTCTTCTGAATCTGCTGGTTGTGCTTGATCGCCATTGTGTCGGATTGTCTGCCCTAATCAGCCTTCGTCGTTCGCTCGTGGAGGTGTGTGGGAGCGCGCAGTGTCGACGGCGAGTTGGTTTAATTGCGCTCGTTCGATTGCGCACTCCGAAGATGGTAAACGTACCTCGATGGCTGACCTGTGGGTTAGTTATCGTACGGCTGTCGAGGAAGAAATCTCGAAGTTCGCTCGCCAATTTCGACAGCCTTCCTAGCGCTAGTGGGCCAACCGAGTTTTCGGCGGCACGTTTTGCCGACGCCGACTCTAGCGTGATGGGTCGGCGTGCGCTGCAACACCAATGACGACCCGCTACTGGAACACAGTCTTCTGTCGCGAAAGTTACCGTGGTGTCCTGGTTGACTGAGTGTGGTTACTCTGAGCATGCTCATCATTCTTATCGCTGTACTGGGTGCTTCATTCCTTCAACGATGATGAGAAATTTGATCACTTTGATACAACTGACTGGGAACGGTTGTTTTTGGAAGTATCGCTACATCCATTTGAAACAAACTGTAGACAATAATCTAAACATCCCTATAGTACTCTCCTGTAGTGAGCACACAATGTACACGAAGACATTACAAAACGCTAAAATGTATCCAAAGAAGTGAAACCGCACAAGTGCACTCTAGACCCAACCCGGTACAACAAGAACCTTCAAACCACCACCCTAATATGAAGAATCAAGGATCAAAATCCACCATCATCCGCATCGAAGAACTCAGTGTTGGAGCTCTGTGCACTCGTCCAACTCTCCCTGGGAATCTTGTCTCTGAGCCAGGTAAGAACAGCGTCAGTGCCCTTCTGCAGCACCTGTCGATTAGGTACCCTGAACTTGTTTCCTTCCACTTCAAAGCCTGTCAGGGTGCCTTGCAGCAATCCAATTCGCGGTTCTAGACGCTCAATGTCGTTGTTGCCCAGGTTTACAATCCTAAGGTTGTGCAAGCTTTCAGGCGAGACCTCGGAGATCCTGTTGTCGGATGCGAGGAGGGTGGTGAGCGCGGGGAAGGCTACATGGAGCGTTGGAAGGGCACCGGCGAGACGATTGATCGATACGTCCAGCGTCACGAGGAGAGGCGCCGTGAGGTATGTCGTCAGATGCGTGAGAGAGTTGATCTTGTTACTGGCGAGACGGAGATCGCGTAGCTGAGGAAGTTCGATGGGCGCTGACAGAGGTACTTCAATGCTGTTCCTAGACAGATCGAGTAATGTCAAGTGTTCGAACTGCGCCGCTATAGACGGTATGATCTCGAACTTGTTGCGCTGCAGATGCAATTGACGCAGTCCGTTGACCATGACTTCCATGGTGACTTCATCCAACTCTAGTTCAGACATGCTCTTGTCCGCGAGGTCTAGTGTGCCCGAGGGTGTAAGTTGCCACTTCGGCTGAGCCTCTTCTGTGACACCATTCTCGAATTCGTCATCCACGTCGGCTGAGACCTCCGCTGGTAGTCGCGATGCCAGATCGCGCTTGATATCATCGGTGCCCATGGTAAGAAATTTACGATCGCGCAACGGGTTAGCTGCGACTGTGAGATGTTCTAGATGTTCCATCAAGGCAATCTTCTCATCAAGCTGAGTGATATCGTTGCCCGTGAAGTCTGCAGTACGTAGTTGTTGAAGCATCACGAAACCCTCTGGTAAGGTTGAGAGTTTATTCTCGCCGACTAGCAGCGTCGTCATACTGATCCAGGTCGATACTTCAGGGAACGACGTAAGTCTATTCGTGGAGACATTGAGTGTCTTGAGAGCAGGCAATTCAACCACGTCGCCAT